TATATATATATATAATGTTTTATATATATATATATATACACACACACACACACATACATACATACACAATGGAATTTAAAGCAAAGTTTAATAACTTTCAAGTAGTTCTAATGATTAGGCAGGCTGGGTTTGTGGGACGGGGAGGGTAAGGGCTTGTAAAATGGGGAAGATGCTGAACTGTTTTGGAACCAGCTCTTCAAATGGAGACTCCTGCCCCACTTTGTTGATGTAATGTGTACAATTGCTTTGTTGCTTAACTGCCTTTACTTTTTGAGCTAGGGGCTGTCTTCATTAACAGCAAAAGTGTTACTTTGTTGTAGATGACAGATAAGCCTCATCACGGGAGAGTTACCTAGTAAGTATAGACCAGGTGAACATTCTGTTTCTCTCGGTCTTAATTTATTCCAACATTTATGATTAGTACAAATTTTTATAAACGAGCAAAAAGTACCTTCCCTTTAAAAAAAAAAGTTTTAAAAATGTTTCTAGAATGGAGGGTGTGGGGTATATCTATTTTTTTTAAAAAAAAGAAAAGTCTAACTTCTGCAATTTATTCTCTAGTGTTTTTCTTTGTCCCCTTTTGTGCTTAAAGTTTGTACACCTGTGCTAACAAGCAAAAGCCTCTTAAATTGTGAATTCTGTTTCAGCCTTTCCTTAAATCAAGAACCCATTTTTTTCATTTCCCTGTACAGCTATGACTGCTTTGTGTTAATGAGTTTTAGGTATTGCTACTGGAATGATTTCTGAGCCCATTCTGTATGCTTTTTAGTATTTTGAATTGCCAACATATTTGATTGCTACTCACGTTTACATAATAAGAAGAAAAACTAGGAACAATCTTAATAAAAATGATTTTTATTAAGAAATGACATTGGGACAAAAATGGAACTCTTACTCTAAAGATGCAATGCTCTTAAGGTTTAAACTATTGTTAGTCTCTGAGGTCCTTCAATTGTTTTAAAATAGCCAGGTTCCAAATTGTTCCACCACACAGGATTTTTTTGACCCTGTAAATCTTGTATATGGATTGCTGGAATTCGTTGTACTAAGATTATTTAGACTTTTGGCATATTTAAGTTGTGAACCCTAAGCTTGTAAAAGTATTGTAGTTGTGGTGCTATAGAAAAAAAATCTAGGTCTATGCCTGGGGAACATTTTCACTTACAACTGATATATATTGAGCTTAACTATTCATGGTTCTATAGATGAGCAACACTTAATTCTTTACAAAACATCAGATGTGCTAATTAAACCAGCAATAACTGAATAGCCAAGTGAGGATTTGTCTCACTGAAGATCTTAATTTAACATCCTAGCAAGTGACCATTCCATATAGGATATAACATTTTTAAAAAAAACGCTTCCAAAACGCAAACTCTGTTCTCTTTAATGTATTGTGGCATCATGCCTGCACACATGTTGTGTATGCACCCAAAGGTACTATCATTCTGGTTTTTTTTTTTTTTTGCCATGTCAGTAATTTCTGATTACATTTTATAGGTACGCCTCCAAGTTCAAAGTGTGAAAAAGCCGCTCTACCGTGGGACTGTACATTGTTTCCAGTCTATCATAAAGCAAGAATCTGTAAGTAACTTCCTGAATGAATGTGCATGATGGGCATTTAAGTGGAGGAGGAGCTATTTAAATAAAAGGAATGTGGTCCCCCTTTTATAGAATGTTGGTAGTACTGGAACTGCAAAGCCACCTGATAGTTTGAAGGTACCCAGGCCACCTGTGAAAAACGGCCTCCTCCAGGACATAATAAGGATCATATATAAAGCCCCAAAGATGCTGTATCAGTTCAACAAACTACCATAACTTTTGCTTCATTTTGTTTGATTATTTTAGACATAGTTTAATTATTATTTAAAACTATTTATACCAATATTTATTGCTGAGACTATAATCCACCAAGACTTTTGTTTGCAACAGGTTAAAAAAAATCTAATTAAAAATAGTAATAGAGGAGGTTAAAACATTCAGGGGCAGCTTGATTTAAATAGAATCTGAGTCAGTGCTATTCTTATTTTTGTAAAATAGACATAGATGAATACATTTTAATTTTATATACCTCATTTTTTCTCTTGCTGCTGGTCACCCATTCGCTTTCTCACAAACTGAAATGATCAAGCCTTTACTACATTCTTTTAAACTGCTTTTTCTAATAACTAAACTTTAGCAGTGAGTGTCAACAGTTGACCAGCTTTAGCAAGAGACAGAAAAACATTTAAGAAAATAAAGTTTTTTTTTAAAAAAGTAGGCCAATGGAAAGTGAGCATGCTTAGTAAATAGGGAACGTTGGTTTTCTCCGGGAAAAAAGAAGACCCCACTTAAAACATTTACATTTCTGTGATCCAATTTATACATGATTATTTGAAAATAAGGCATCCTGAGTGTAATAGGACTTATTCTTAGGTAAGTATATACAGCATTGCAGTGTTGGACACACATGGTATCCAATTGAATACAGTAACTGGTATTTTTTATTGTGAGAGTGTGAACTAACATCTCCCTGCACCTTCTGAAAGCAGTTGTGTCCCATGAATGTCTCAGAATCACATAATAGATACAAAGCACAGGTCTATGATCTTGGGAAGAAGTGGAGATCCTTTAAGGTATTGTGGCAACTCGGGAGCTTTGCATCAGCATGGATGGATGCTATGTACATATTCAAAAGATAAATTCTGGAGATAAATTCTGAAACATTTGACAAAACTATAAGCGCTCTCACCCTCACTAGAAAAGATAATAGTACAGGACAGTAAAATCCACAACAAGCCACAAACAGTAACAGTAGCAGTAGCACTAGTGGCACAGATCTTACTGTGGCTGACAATCTCCGAAGGCTTCACTGTCATCCAGAGCCATGAGAAGAGGACATTCCTCCGTAGTTCCATCCATATTTAAGTTTAGTTTAATGATACAAACTGGGTGGATGTTTGATACTCCTAGCAGGTAGCGAATAAATGCAAATTCACTCATACCTAGTTGTAGCAGAAGTATTGATGTGTAGGAATATTGTAGTAATAACTGGCACAACTTTAGAGTATATCCAGAGATATGCATATTAATTACTGTAGACCAGGGGTGTCAAACTCGATTTCATTGAGGGTCACATCAGGCTTGTGGTAACCTCGGGGGGCTGGATGCGTGTGGCCTCAGTGGATGTGCCTGGGGTAGGCGTGGCTGGGGGGGCATGGCCAACTTCCTGCCTCATCATTACTTCCTTCTTTCCTCCCTCCCTCATTTCCATCTTGTTTTTTTCCTCCGCACTCAGGAAGGAATATGGGGAGGGGAAAAGATTGGCAGAGCTGTTGGTGGCCATGCTTACTGTGCCTGTGGCATTCCCACGCAGGGCAGATCATGGGTGGTCCTAGGGAAAGGGAAGTCGCACGAGCTGCAAGGCTGGACCAGCAAACAGCCATGGAGGCGCTGGTGGTGGGTGCGGCGCTGATCTATAACTAGATGGTGGCCTTAGATCCACGGGGCAGCCCTCAAGCCAGCTGGGTGCCATGCCACTGCCTCGGCCCCATCCCTTGGCCATGCGCACAGGAGGTGGCGAGTGCCCAGAGGGCAGGGCTGAGACAGCAGATCTAAGGCTGACTGCATTCCGGCCTGGGATGGCGGCCATCAAGTTACAGATTAGCGCCTGGCTGGCCTGGGCCAGGGCTGAGGCACTAGTCCTTTGCTGTCTCAAGGGCAGCCCACACGGGCCAGATCTAGCCACATTGCAGGCTGGAGTAGGACAGGCTTTGGTTGCTTCCTCCCTCCCCTTCTTTCATTTGTGTCCTTGATCCCTGATCCCAGCAGCATTCACCGAAGGCGAAGAAAGCCGCCATTTTTATTTTATTTTTATTTTCTTTGCGGCCCGGTGCAAAGTGATCCACGGACCGGTACCGGTCCGCGGCCCGGTGGTTGGGGACCCCTGCTGTAGACCATGCATATGAATGTGTTCCTGTTTTAGGGCAGAATGCTTAATTTCATTCGTATCCATCTCTGCCTCAAAGTTTTGGAAGGCTTGGGGAAAACACTGAATTATTTCTATTCATGCCCCCAAACAAAGCTCACACAAGATTGATGCTTTTCTTGCTGCTTTGTTATTGATCTCAGTTCCTCATTTGCGAGATGAAAACTTCAGGATTCATATAAAAAGGAACCTCAGGTTCCACATAGCTATATAAAGATATGCATTTGATTCCTAAAGTGATGTGCTAGGCAGAAACAGTCCAGTTTGCACTGTTAATAACTCCAGCAGTTGGTGGTAACTGTTGCTGATTCATCTCCTGATTATTAATGGTCTCTATTTTTGTTAGAACATGAATCCAATCCAGATTAGGGAGATGGAATTGATGATAATTTGCTTTGTTCATATTCTGATATTAAATAAGTAGCTGTCAAGTGTAAAAAAACGTAATATAGGGCAGAATTTCCCAACCTTTTGGGGTTGGTGGCCTGGAGTGGGGGAGGGGCAGGCACCTTTATGAATGCCTGATGCAAATGGGTTTGGGATCCCCTGATATAGGGTAAGAAATAGGAGAACTTTTGAAAACAATAGCTGCATATTGAAATGTGTGAACTTGGGGATTGTGGGGTATCTTTGGCATTTGGAGGTTGCACACAAACATTCACTTTTTTTGCTGCTGAAGAAAAAGCAGATCTTTGGGATGGGATGTTGGGGTATGGCAAGTTGTTGCTGTCACAGTCTAGGAGTACCATGCCTAAAGGATTATTCAGATCTAACTATTGCAAAACAAAAAATTGCAGAATGTTAATAGCTTTATTATACGTTGCTTGAGAAAAGTCTTTAAATTCCTGGTCATCATCTATATGTGTGCTTTGTTTTCATCTAGGCTTTTGGACTTTATAAAGGTATTGGGTCGCCTATGATGGGTCTCACCTTCATTAATGCCCTTGTCTTTGGCGTTCAAGGGAATGCTCTCCGTGCTCTTGGAAAGGACACACCTGTACATCAGTTCCTTGCAGGTTCAGCAGCAGGCGCCATTCAATGTGTGATCTGCTGTCCTATGGAACTGGCTAAGACACGGATGCAGCTGCAAGGAACAGGGGAATACAAGTTGAAGTCCAAGAACTACAAAAACTCTTTGGACTGCTTGGTGAAGATCTATCGAAAGGAGGGTCTAAAAGGCATCAACAAGGGAATGGTTTCCACGTTTCTGAGAGAGACCCCCAGCTTCGGTTTCTACTTTTTAACGTATGACTGCCTAACAAGGTATCTGGGGTGTGAAGCGGAAGATAGTTACATTGTTCCCAAACTGCTTCTGGCAGGAGGCATGTCTGGCATAGTCTCCTGGCTCTCTACATACCCTGTGGATGTAATCAAGTCCCGCCTTCAGGCTGATGGAGTTGGAGGAGTCGTACGGTACCAGGGTATTCTGGACTGCATTAGAAAAAGCTACCAGGATGAAGGCCCAAGGGTGTTCACAAGGGGTCTTACATCCACCTTGCTTCGTGCTTTTCCTGTTAATGCTGCAACATTTGCCACTGTTACGATATTCCTTACATATATGAGGTCAGAGGATGGCCAGATCAGAGGTGATTTAAGTGGATGTGAGGCTGGTCCAGTCATCCAACAACCTTCGAGTTTTTAAATTGACTGGAAGATAAAAGTTGTACCTGTTACATGTAAGATGTCATCATTTTTTTAAAAAAAGAATATTTGGATACCAAGAGTATACATTTTGGCCTGTATAAAGCATCTTTTTAAAAATCTCATTTATAAAAGCAGCTTAATGCTTTAGGAAGACTCTAGACTCTAGAGTTGACTCTAGAAATTCAGGCAATAAAAGGATTTGTCCTTTTGAACATGTGCTCAAACCACATCTGCTGGATTTTCCAGTGTAGCCTTGACTTCAATTCCCACAATCCCCAACCAGCACATTATTAAGGAAATCCAATGCAGTCACTAGCTAAAGTCAGTTTCAACGTATCTCAGACAGCTCAAAATGGCGACTACATCTATCAGACCTGAGGCTATATTCCTAATCAGATTCTATCTGTTCAAACAGGAAGAGAAGAAATGGGGCCTTGAACAGATAATGAAGGCTTGTATGCACAGATGCATACATCTCTCAACACACATTAAAAGGTCTGGATGGATTCTCTGTTCTAATTATTGCTCAATCTGACCACGATGTTTTATTTAGAGCAATTGTCCTGGTAAATGTAGAGTTAAAAGAACACCTATTTGTTTCATTTTCCTGCACTTTATCCTAGGGGAGCTTATGTTTTTCCAAATAATTTTAGCTCATAATTTATAACCATCTGATCAGTGGCCTTCCTGATGGGAACTGATGGAGATGAACAACTGGAGAACTACAAGTCTTTCCCGACTCTGTATTTTAACAACCTGTTGCAAGTCATTCTGTAGATGATGTAAGCTACACTTTACCATTCTTGTTAATTAGCAGTACTTGTCAGGAAGCCTGCTGCTTCCTGCTAATTGTGAATATTTTAGCACAGTATATGAACAGCCTGCTTTATTATTTGATCAGTATCTCAATCATACTGTTCAGTATGTAAATGCTTTCCCTGCTATTTTTAGATTATGGTTTGTTTTTCTGTGCTACTATTTGCATTTGGCTTTTAATTTTTTAAAATTGTATGCAGTTGCATCTTGTAAATATTTAAACGTATTTTAGTTACTATGTTTTGAGTTGGAAACTAGAGTATATCTAGAAACCTTGTTACAACCCAAATGTAGACCAGGGCTGTCAAACTTGCAGCCCGCGGGCCAGATGTATCACGCATTGGCCACAGCCATGGCTGGTTTAGCGAGAAAAAAAAAAGTTGTGTGATACGTCACGTGACAATGTGAGTTTGACACCCCTGAATTAACTATTGTTTTTAGGGTGATAGTGATAGATGTGCCTAAATTATCATTTCTCCATTACCGGGGTATATGCGCATAATTATGGTCTATATGTAATAAGATAAAGGATGAAAGTATGTTTCAAAGGATTTAACAGAAGTGTGTTTTAGAGAATTCAATAATGAAAAAAGTCAAGCTCAGTAGTTTTGGAAATTTTGGTGAACAGGAGATCTGACAAACTATTAAGCCTATTTCATAGCATCCTTAAATAAGAATGCTGTAACATTATCTCACTGACATCAGCAATATATTAAGTTTTAATTAGGTTTTATTAACAAAGGTTTAAGGTTGCAGTGCTATACACACTTATCTGGATGATTAAACTCCAATTGGGCTGATTTCTGAACAGCAAAAAATACCATTGGCCGAGTCATAATATCTTTCAAGATATAAGAGCCATCTGGCCAGTCAAACATCTGTTCCACATCACTGACTGAAGAAAAAAAATCTTAACACTAAATCAGAATTTTGGCATCTCCTTTTGTAGTAATGAAGTCTCTAGGGATTGCCTATAAGTATTAAGAAATCTTAATTAGCTTAATTAGTAATTAGCTTGACATTGAAAGTTTTGTTTCTGTCCATATCCACCTCACTTAAAGATCTGCTCATAATTAATAAAACTGTTGTGGGCAGGAAAAAAACATTTCTTTAATTTTATGCCAGTGTTTTCACATTGGCTTGAATTGGATGCATTGGAGGTAAGTTTGAACATGCAAAGTATTTTTCCAAATCAATTGAGGAAAATCAAATTCAACCCATTTGTTGTTGTAATGCAAATTGAAGCCATTCAGCACAGTACTACAGGCTTGGGCACAATGCTCTGGTTAATTTCCTCACAAACTCTCCCACAATAACAGTGTGTAAATGTGCTCATTCAACAGTTGGACAAAAAGATGATGTGAAATTTCTCAAGTGCAAAGCATGGATTAACTCTGACACTTACCCGTTCAAGAAATAAAGTAGATAATGCGAGATTGCCAAGCAGCAAGAACTCGATGTAACAATTAGACTGAAACTTAAAAGCTGAAGAAACAGGATGTAAGACAACTTTATACTATTTCTCATCACCTCTAAGGACACCTTGGCATTCAGCCAACTATTTGGCACATAGAGGGGTCATTAAAGACCCTTATAAATGCTTTAAATTGCAGTTGTACCATTGACTTGGCCCTAAAATATATAAATTGTTTAAACACCATGTTTCTCACATGCTTTTAAGTACTTCCTATTCTATTTCCATTGCTGCGAAGAATGTGCAAGCCCAATGAAAAAAAAAGTATCACTTGCAGATTTAACTTTGGATCAGAGCCTACATAATTATGGATCCAAAACATCAATTGAAGACCATTATTATAGCTGTTGAATAGACAAGAGGAAGAAAAACAGGTAGAAAAACTAGTAATGTGATATATAACAGAGGCTCGTATGTAGAATGTACCATTAACTAACTGCAGTGGAAGATATTTTTGCGGACAGGTGCAATATGTCTGTTTAAACTCTTTTTCATAAAAAATCTAGCCAATTATTTTAATAATAATTATGCTGGAGAAACCTATAAAACTGGATTGCTGCTTCTATACATGCAGGTATAGTGGATGTTTTGACACTACTTGCAGGGACATTCAAATTGAATGTGAAATCCAAGTTGTTTGTTGTGCAACGACACTATCTTTTTTTTGTACAGTATTCTGTAACTGTTGTACATAAAAGTAATAAATCTTTTTTTTAAATGTAGTTTTTTCTTTGATGGAACTAAGGTCATCTATACTAAATCAAGTATGAGCAACTTGTGGGCACTGAAACCCCTCTGATAAGAATTTACAAAAACTGTTATGGCTCCTGCAGAGTGGAAAACATACATACCGTAATACAAATCCTAATAAACAAAGTTCAAAAATCTAGAAAATTCCCCATCTATCCTTCCCATTTGGCAACTCTTGAGCCTTCAATGTTAGATGTTGCCCTTGACCTGCAAAAAGATTGCCCACCTTCGTACCAAGCCAAGATCCGTTTATGGTGAAGCATTTTTGTAAATCAAGAGCTAGAAGAGAAACAGTACATATGCTTCATCATGTGGCAATACACTCCACTAGGTATCCCAAGGTCTTCTACAAAGGTGCCTTGTCTGAGGTAGAGTTTAGATACCAATCATGCTATGGGAAGTAAAAGATTTTATATCTTAAAGATATTTAGCAGGTATGGATCTAATGGTTGCAGAAGATCATTTACAGTCTTTTAATTCCTTTTCTCCAAAATATTCCTGAACAGCGTGGGCTGAAAAATACAGAATTTCAATACCAAAGTGGCAGAAAATAAGTAGAGAAAGTAGCATTGATTTAAAGAGATTTGCTTTTGTGTTACTGGTCTATATACTGCTGAGCAGGAACATGACAAAACTGCATTGCAGAGTTACTGGCTTCTGTTCATTAACCAAATTAGTAACCTGCATCCAAGTTATGTAATCCTCCACTCAGTACATTCTAAATTCTCTTGTCATCAAATATTATTTACAGAACATGGCAGGCAATTCAGCAAAAATACTTATGCAATGGAAAGTGCCACCTGCTTTCTCAAGTTTACACAAATACAGGAACATCACGACATATTGCTCTGCTTGTAGTTTCATATTCATTTTTTACATGTGAAATAAGTATAAAAGCCTTGAGCAGTATATTTCTAAGTAAATTCAAAGTTAAAGTTGGTTTCAATTGGAGTAGCTTAAAACATTTTCTTTTAGAAGAATTAAGGTATTGAGCGTTGAGTGTGCTGGTATTATATTTCAGACTTTTGGGAATGGAAGACAGCTTTGCAAAAAGTAGATGATGTTTGTGGCTAAGAACAGGCAGTCATGGGCTCCATCAACCTCTGAACAGAGGATACGAGATCATCCAATCATATGGTTGCTGCTCATGAGGAGATTGCAAAGCATCAGTCTCCGGAGGATGGGATAACCAGAAGCCAAGGGAATTTGCCATACTTACTCCAGCCACTATCAGGGTCTTCCAAAGAATACTAAAATCATTTCCCCCTTGCTAATTACATTTAGAAATTGCCTATTGATTGTTTTAAGAAGTTAGGTTTCTTCAAAATATCAAGGCTTGAAACACTGAGGGCCTTAAATCCTTGATACAAGAAAATGAAGATGCCTCTATATGACCTTTAGTTTAGTTTAGTTTACTTTATTGTCATTGCACCTCATACAACGAAATCAAACACCATCTTCAGTGCACATCATGACCATGAAAATAAACACAAACACACATCCTTCACACTCCATACATTGAACTGAAAACCCGCAACACCACACCAAAAAAAGTTTAAGCAGCAAAAAGCAAGATAGGACTTTGGCTGTTGAAAGTTTTAAATGGATTAAAAGCTTAGAAAATGTAATATTGGATTTTGAATATTAAGACATTGACAATAATTTTAAAGAATAAATTTCATGGGAAAGAAAAACTTTTCTATATTGAAGATGTAGCAAGACAAGCAACTTATAATGGCAATCTGTTCCCAAATGATGTTACAGAAAAAGATATGTAATAAACAAACATAAATAAAATCTTAAGAATTTTATCATTAGATGTTAAAAAGATTTGGACGAGGCTTTAAAAATTAAGAAAATAAACATGACAATCCCAGAGAACAATTGGAATAATTTGTTCTTGTTGGATTCATAAAAGTTGTTAAAATTCTGAAGAAATTTGAAAAAGGATCATTTGGATCAAAGAGCAAGATCGTCATAAAAAGAAATAACCCAAAATTGGTTTATGATCAGAGTTAAAATGGAACATCGGCTGGTTTTTGTTTTGCTATAGTATTTGCTGATATCTGGACAGCGAAAATGTTGTGCATTGGATTTGTTTCGTTTTCATGGTCTTTAAATCTTTTTCTCTACCATTATTTTATGTACCCAAATCTGACATCAGTTAAATTGGGTTTCTATCAAACTGACCTTTCATTTAAAGTAAGGAATTTTTGTGAGCTCATTTTCATTAAAGGAGAAAATATCCCTGTTTGTCAATTGTGGGATGAAGAGCTTTATATCTGTTAAGAGCTTATGCAAAGCTAGTGAAATTGTTTGTAAAAGATAACAGATAATCAGAGTTGGAAGGGACCTTGTAGGTCATCTAGTCCAACCACCCGCCCAAGCGGGAGATCCTACACCATTTCTGACAGATGGGAGTCCAATCTCTTCTTGAAAGTCTCAAGTGATGGCACTCCCACAACTTCCGAGGGCAAGCTGTTCCATTGGTTGATTGTTCTCACTGTCAGAAAGTTTTCTCCTTATTTCCAGGTTAAATCTCTCCTTGTTCAGTTTCCATCCATTATTCCTTGTCTGGCCTACAGGCGCTTTAGAAAACAGCTTGACCTCTTCCTCTCTGTGGCAGCCCCTCAAATATTGGATGGAACACTGCTATCATGTCTCCCCTGGTCCTTCTCTTCACTAGACTAGCCTTATACTTGTGATGAGGATGGGAAGTTTTTCTTCCTTATCTTGCAGTTTTTCTTCCTTATCTTAGTTTTATTGTCTTTTATTAATTAAAACTTAATGTGCTGCTATAGCATTTGGCATTCTATAAAAGGAGCAAGTAATGGAGAGGATTAAATTATAATTTGGCTCTACTATGCAGTGCTTAAAGTACTCATTCAGGTTTGACAAGACAGCATTTAGACTTACTGGGAAGTATTTTTCTGGCCACCAACAGGAAACAATTAACTTTCCTCTAGCTAAGACTTCTTCTTGTTCTATAGAGAAAACTTCCTCCAAGTCTCAAGTACTGACTTTAGGGGATTGTGGGTTAGCTCTTCCTTTAGTGTATATTTCACTGTAACAACCAAAATTGAAACTAAGCTGTATGGAAATGGAAGAACAATGTATAAATTTAGCATAACATAGTAAAGTAACTTGCACCACAATCCTTGACCTCATAATCTTCTCTTAGAGTGGAATTGTTCGTTTCAACTTCTGCTGATGGGAGACACTTTGGTAAGGTCCACTTATGTTCTGTCACCAGAACACCAGAGATAAAGTAGATAACACGAAAGGGACATACAAAAGGCAGTATTCCCAGGAAAGATCAGTGTCATACTTCCATGTGAAAATCCATGTCAGAGGATACAGAGTTATCTATTTTATGTTTTATATATATGGCTCTGCCCTGGAAGCCACCCTACATGTTTATTTCCTACAGCAAAAACCTATTGACATAACCATCTCCCTTGAGAAGAGTGCTGTGAAGCAGGAAGAGTGCTGCCTCTTCTTGGTGCCACGCATCTAACTGTGTATTGGAACATTTGTATTGCCTGATTCCTGCATTGTAAGATTAACAATTATTGGCCCTTTGTCACCTAATGTAAGTATTCTGATCGTTCTGAATTCATTTAGCTCAACCTAAGTGCATTCAATAGGTGGGGTAGAATTCCCAACCAGGAGTTGGGAAGTATATTCTCCTCCTGCAAAATGGAATTTGGAAAATAACCAAGGGCATGAAAAGATCTAAAACCTTCTTTCCTGGTGGAAAACACATAGGTCTCTTAACGTCGAATGAGTCATTATCCCCTAAAGTTTAGATAGAATTTGTACTTCCTCACCTGGTCTGACAGTATCTTTAAGCTTACTTGTACTTCCTTTTGCTCTTCTTTTTAGAATAGAATAGAATTCTTTATTGGCCAAGTGTGATTGGACACACAAGGAATTTGTCTTGGTGCAAATGCTCTTAGTAAAAAATACATTCGTCAAGAGTCAAGAATCATAAGGTACAACACTTAATGATAGTCATAGGGTACAATAAGCAGTCAAATCATACTAGGAATCAGTCTATATAAATCATAAGGATACAAGCGACAAAATTACAGTCATATGGAACCTTGTCCTCTGCTGTATTTTGAACTCCAGCCAAGGTTCTGCTGCTCCTTCCTCTACAATAACACAATATAAGTACAAGTGGGATCTTCTAGATATGGTCTTGAAACAGGAGAGGGTGCCATTGCAGAAGCCCAAAGTCGTAATTCTTGTCTACGGCAGCCATATCAATTTCTTAAAAGTTTAGCCTTATGAATGTAGGATCCACCAAGGTCTTGAGCATCACGAGGCCATCTCACACACCTTTATGCTTTCCTTAGGGGTGTCCTTTCATATCCATTCTGTTTTGGGGATTAATCCAGTGGATTTGCCCTTTGAGAAAAGGGAGGCTGGGTGATACTGCCTTATTCTTCCTAACCACTAGCCTGCAGCACTTCTCGCATCTCTGATTACTTAAGGTACCTTGTTTCCCCCAAAATAAGACCCAGATCCAGTCT